CTTTTCGTAAATCGTATAGATTGTTTTAAAAAAAAAAAAAAAAAAAAAAATTCAATAGTAGATTTTCACATAAAAGTTACACAAAAATTCTTTAAAATTACTTTCTCAAGAGATTGTTCCAAACATATTATCCCATAATTAATCTCAATCTCTTTTCCAAAATCTAAATCAGCACCAATCCAACTACCTTATGTTATAATCAATTATATCGTAAAGAACTGCATGTTCTTTTGAGCCTTGGTGGACAGAGGTATTCAGTACATTCGTATATGTACTGATAGAAGGTAACAAATGACCTATGGAATAGTCGAGGTGCAAACAAGCTGGTCCGACATGATTCTTATAAAAAAAGAATTCTTTTGAGCAAGCGATTAGGACAAATAGGATCATTTGGTGCCATCATTTAAATTTTGACCCCGCTAAGAAGTGTTGAGAAAATAGTCTCCTGTCAGAATTTTGAAACACGCTGGTCAGAATTTCTTAGGCAAGTCTTGTGCTATTCGTTAGAATTCTGACAATTGCCATAATTTCATTAGTTATGATGATCATCACAAAATTCTGACGATTGCCATATTTTGTGCAATTGGCTACCAAATTGTGAGTGATCAACAAAACTTTTTGTATTGTAGCTGAAAATTTTGGTGATTGTTAGCATTTCAGGTGCTTCAAAATTCTGACCAACGTGTTTTAAAATTCTAAGCAGCGTGCTTAGAAATTCTGATGTAGGACTATTTTCTCAAATTTTTTTAATAGTGCCAAAATATTAATTTAAAAAGGTGCATCACCTTAATTTAGGGGATTTGCAGCCGTACCCTATATTTGTGCCACCTTTTAACCTATACCCTATTTTTTAAAATTATTGATTTGGTAGCTATCTCACAAAAAATCCGTAATAATATGACAATTACATCCTTGATAAAACATATAAAACGATCTCCTGCTGAAGTTATTTAGTTCATTTGCTAAAATTTCATACTAAACATGCTGGAGTTATTTAGTTTATTTGCTAAAATTTCAGACTAAACATGCTTAAGTTATTTAGTTTATTTGCTAAAACTTCAGACTAAAGATGCTTAAGTTATTTAGTTCATTTGCTAAAACTTCAGACTAAACATGCTTAAGTTTTTTAGTTCATTTGCTAAAATTTCAGACTAAACACGCTTAAGTTTTTGTCTTGTAGTATGCAATTTTCTAATGAGTTTTTACTAATACATGTTGAAGTTATTTAGTTCATTTGCTAAAACTTCAGACAAAACATACTGAAGTTATTTAGTTCATTTACTAAAATTTCAGACTAAACATGCTGAAATTTTTTAGTTCATTTGCTAAAACTTCAGACTAAACATGCATAAGTTTTTGTCTTGCAGCATGTAATTTTCTAAAGAGTTTTTGCTAATGCATGCTGAAGTTATTTAGTTCATTTGCTAAAATTTCATACCAAAACATGCTGAAGTTTTGTAATGTAGTCTACGGTTTTGTCCTGAGTTTTATTCAAAACTTCAGTCTAAACAAGTTGAAGTTTTTTAGTTTATTTGTTAAAACTTCAGCCTAAACATGCTTAAGTTTTTGTCCTACAGTTTGTCAATAGTCTTTTATTAAAGAAGGGCAAAATCAACTTTTTAAAATACTTTTAACAAAAAAATAGGTATGAATGCAAACGAAAAAACAAAATGGGTATAAGTTAAAAAGGGGTGACCAAATAGGGCGCCCCACACAATTTTTACCTTAATTTCGCCAAAGATTCCGAGAACCAATTACCCAACAATTATGTTCAAGGACCATTTTACATTTTCCAAAACAGTCAAGGGGTCTCAGTGCTATTTTCTCTTAACAGAAGCAGTAGCCCGAGTCCCGACGACAGTTTTTTCCGGACAAAGTAACAGAAGATTTGAGAAACTCCGCGAAACGGACTACTCTCCTAGTATAAACAGCACACCACTGTGTGTTTCTTTGTGTGTGAGAGAGAGAGAAGAAGAAGAAGATTTAATAAAATGGGGGATTACCATTTCATGTACAAGGATGTAGAAGGAGCTTCAACACAATGGGATGACATTCAAAGGAAGCTTGGAAATCTCCCTCCAAAACCCCCGGCTTTTAAGCGCCCACCTTTTACTCCTGAAACTTGCAAGCCTAAAGACAAAAATTGGATCGGCGACAAAACCCAAGATGAACTTGATGAACTTGAAGATGATCCCCAACTCAACGACGATCGCTTCCTCCAAGAATATAGGTTTCGCTCTTCTTCCCCTTTTTATTTTTCAATTTTCATACTTGATTACTTAATTTCCCTTCTTGTCTATATTTTCATTAATGGGGTGCTTATGTTTTCCTGAACCGAGGTCTATTGGAAACAACCTCTCCATCCAGATAGGTTATCTCCCCGACCCCACGGTTTGTGATAATGCGGGTATGTTGTTGTTGTATACTTGATTCCTTAATTATTCTTTTGGGTTGCTCCTGAAAGATCCCTTTAGGATATTAAAAAAGAAATCAGTTCAAGTGCCTTCCTTTTTTTCAGTTCATTAGTGTCTCTTTGTGAGTTTGTTCTCTCAATATTTTGTACTATCTTTTATACAGTGGATTGTTTATCTCCTCATGTGGACGTAAGTCAAATTGATCGAACAACATTAAATGTTTGTGTCTCTTTTGATATATTCTCATTTGTTAACTGATTTATCGTCTTCAATGTTTGTTTTACTAGCTTCCGCATGCCACCTGATTATTTCGATCCTAACATATTTTGGGCTGCTGTTAGTAGACCCTCTTAAGACGGAAAGGAGGAATCATTAGTCTTAACGAAGAAATTTTTTTCATTGAATTCATTGACATCCTTAGTTGAAAGATATTTCTTTTGAATGCATGATATCACCATAGTGATGTTTGTTCTTGTAGGGATCATAGTTGTCCTTTGGTTTGTAATAAATTTGATTTCTGAGCTTCTAGTTGAAAGAGAATTACTAAGGAAAGCATTATCACAGTCGTTTTACTAGGATAAAAGGGTGGAGCAGAACAGTCCGAGCAGAAAGTAAAATATGAGGAAAATAACTTGTTTAGGACTTGTCTACAACTGGTAACTCAAAGTATTCTACACTAAAATCCAAGAATAAAGCTCCCAAAATAAAAATGATTTATGACATACACTTATCATTTACCCTTTCCCCACCGAAAAAAAAGGAAAAAGGAAATCCTGAGAAGAAAGAAACGTAAGTACTCTTGGCTAAAGATATGAGTCGCAAGTGGAATAAACTCCAAATCATTGTTCACAATGATGCTCCAACTAGGTTTGTTGAGTCATTTCATTTCTGGATTAATTCAATCTTCTTCATTGTAAACGTAGAAGCGTACTCTCCCTTCATGTCATCTTAGTCCAGTATTCAGGTTCTTCAGTTTCCAATGAGTTAGAAGGTTGGTGGCACCGACTGTTTTTTCCACTCCTAAGAGAAAATGGAAAAANCCCAACCCCCCAAAAAAAAGGACGTTCACCATCAAAGACAAACGTTTAATCGGATATTCTTAGCTTTATCGCATTTGATTAGAAATATATATGTGCTTATCAAGCTATCGTGAAGTTAGAAGCTCGGAGGGCACTATAAAGAATGACGATTAAGCTTGAGAATTGAGTTGAAGTTGAGCGGTTCTTGTATTTTTTTTCTTCTTGTTTTCAAATGCTATAGGAAGAAGAGGTTGGCTGAGATAAGAGAAGCTGCTAAGATTGCACGATTTGGAGCAGTGTTACCAATTTCTGGATCAGATTTTGTGCGGGAGGTTTCACAAGCTCCAGAAGATATTTGGGTGGTTGTGCTTCTTTATAAGGATGGGTAATTAATACGTTCATCTCTTTATTTAGTTATCCGTTCGAGCTTCAAGTATGTTTTTTCAGTACTTTTCAACTTTTCTTTCTTTAATTTTAACCCTGTGTCTGTCCTTTGTTGACGTCTCTCTTTGATAGATATTCAGGATGTCAGATACTGTTGCAATGCTTAGAAGAACTGGCAACGAGATATCCTGCAACAAAATTTGTCAAAATTATCTCTACAGATTGCATCCCAAACTACCCAGATCGTAATCTTCCTACTGTTTTGGTGTACAAGAATGGCGCACTGAAGTCAAACTATGTTGGACTTCACAATTTTGGTCGGAGATGCACACCTGAAGGTATGTTCTCATTATGTCTGTCCCCCACCTCCTTCCCCTGCCCTTCTCTTTCTTTCTATCTTTTTGATGCACTGAAGTCAAACATCTAACAGAGGACTGGCTAAAAGAATTGTCATCTTTCTTTTCACATTCCAGCAATTTCATACTTGATGTATTCTGCTACTTTGTCATTTACGCATGACTGGCAAGTTTCATTTCTTTGCACTAAGCATGGTCCTGAGAAGTGAGGCTTTATTTTTATTATTACAAGTGTGAAAGAGAAAGGGAACTTCATTTTATATAGTTGTGCATGCATTGTGCAGAAAGATGAAAGGCTAGAGATTACTGGATTCTTTAGGCTGACTAGATTAATAAGGTGCAGCTACTAGCATGGCTGATTGATAGGTGATATTCTTTCAAGTGTCTTACATTTAGTTGGCACAAATGTATTAGGTGGAAATATGCCCATTCACGTTCAAAACGTTCTTGACGTCTGACATTCTTTTGGGAAATTTTCACCTGTTACCTCTTTTTGCCTATTCATTTCTAGACAAAGATTGAGTATCTCTTGAATTCCTATAGATGTTGTAACGCATATATTTTCTCTTATATAAAACATTTGGTGAAAATAGAGGTGTGCACAATATAAGACATGACTATTAATCTTCATCGATTTCTTGGTTATGTTGGTAGCTGCTCTTTTGCTAAGTTTGCCTGCATTTTAAAGACAAATTTGGACCTTACCCTGTTTTCAGGAAGGTTTTGTCTGCTGCATCTAACCATTTTCGGCGAGTTATTTCCACATGTATTTCTATAGCAACTTTTCGTCTTTGTGCACGGTTCTAGTGTTTTCTTTTCTAGTGTTTTATCAGGTATTAAGTTTGCTTTTATCAAATTGTTCTGGTAAAAAATTGCTTCTTTTAATACTATTTGCTGGCTTGTCAGTTGGTATGATTGCTCTTCATCTATTCGGTTTTAGGTGTTGCACTAACACTCTGCCAATCGGATCCTGTACTAAATGATGGACGTAGAAAGAATGAACAATCCAGAGAAGCTGTTTTGGATGGAGTACGAAAGAGTTTCCTCGAGAAGGTTGTGGCAGAGCATGAAGATGATGATGGATCTTCTAGTGATTAATTGTGTAGTTTTCTTAATGTCTTTGTGGCTTCGTAGATCATTTGTGTTTTATAGCAGTGACTCATCTAGTGGCTACTTTTTGTTTTCAGTTTTTACTTGCCGAAATGGATTAATCCATTAGTCTGATTTGCTTGATATCAGTGAATTTCGGCAAGGATTTAACTTACATACACTGACATATGGACAATGTGAAGAATCTTTGGTATAACAGTTATTGATGATCTTGAGAAATAGTTTTCAGTTATGATGACTTGCCCAAAATTAATAAGGAAATGAGTGGAGCAGTTTAAAATCTGTTTGAGAATAACAGATTTGGTTGATATATATGAACAAACAGATGATAAATGTTTAAGTGGACTATGTCCTTATCTAAAATGAGAATTATTTACGGTGCAGAAGCACTTCTCTCTTCGTCGTTTTGAGCCGAGGGTCTTTCGTGTTGCAGAAGCATTTCTCTCTGAAGAATGAACCTTTTCTTTCCAATACACACACAGACACACAAAAGGAACAAACACAAAAGAGAAAGGCAACATTCTTGCCTTGCTAATGCGAAATTTACAAGTATATTTTGCCTCCTAAATAGTTAGCTGCTTTGACAACACATTATATGAGCATTTTAAGTTTGAACATAGTTGAGGTTCCTCAGAATCTGCAGTCCAATCAGATAAACCTAAGGCATAGAAGTTATCATCTGCCACTGAGAACTGTAATTGGTGTAAGTTGGCCTTCCATAAGAGAGTCACCTGCAGCTTCATTCGACGACGGAGCTCTAGCTGGCCATACAAATGCAGGTTTCTCAGCAGGAATAATTGGTAGAACTGATTCCCCTGTAAGAATCTGTAAAGCAGTTTTCATGCTTGGCCTTTCATATGGATTTGGATGGCAACAAGCTAATCCTAATATTAACACACATTCAGCTTGCCCTTCATCAAAATCTCTATCCAATCGAACATCTATGGCATCAACGATCCTTTCAATCTTATAGAGATCCCATACATATTCAATGATTCTGTTGCTGTAGATATTCTCCTCATTTTGGTTTCCAGGTTTTCGACCACAGGCAACTTCAAGAATGAGAACTCCAAATGCAAAGACATCTGTCTCAACTGTTGCTCGGCCTATAAGGAAACTTTCTGGAGCCATATAGCCAAGAGTTCCAGCTATCTCTTTCGTCGAATGGTGAGTCATTCCACTCACTTGAACTGTCCGAGCCAATCCAAAATCTCCCAGCCGAGCGTTGAGTTCTGAGTCAAGCATGATGTTGCTGGCTTTTATGTCCCTATGAAGTACTCTTTTCGCGCACCCATTATGCAGATAATCCAGTGCTTGAGCGATGCCACAGATAATGACATGCCTTTTTTCCCAACTCAAGCTCAACCCTTCTCTGATTTCACCTTTTTCTTCCCAAAATATCAACTTTTCTAAGCTCCCATTTGGCATGAACTCATACACCACAAGGAGTTCATTGCTTTCATAGCACCATCCTATCAATTTGACAAGGTTTTTGTGGTGGAGATTGCCAATAGTTGTGACTTCTGCTATGAGATCTTTTGCCCCTTGACTTGAATCTCTAAAGAATCTCTTCACAGCTACCTGTTTATCAGCTAATAACCCTTTGAACACTACTCCACATCCTCCTCTTCCAAGAATGTTCCTGGGATCAAAGTTCCCGGTCCCTCGTTTCAAGTCCTTTAACTGGAATCTCTCTGGTGCAGTAGCTGAACTCCGAATCTGTATCTCTATTTTCTCATCTTGGTCTAACACTTGCATCCTCTTCTTTTTCCTCCTCCAGGTGAAATATATAAAACCCCCAACAAGAAACATAACCAGAACCGATATTATTGGTATCAAGATCCACAACCATAATAGGCTAACATCATTATCATTACCAATTTCTATGCTTGTAAAATTCCATGCTTTTATGCAATTCAGCTGAGTATATATCCCAGTTGAAGCTGAAAATCCCACGAAAACATCCTCGGGAAGATAGCTAGAAAGATCAAGAGGCATGGAAATGATGGGATTTATCGCGTTAACATCCCCAGTCTGATTACTCATGAATGCATAAACATTCAAGATCTTTGATTCTCCATTATACTGAACACTTGCTATAACATCAACAGCTCGTGAAAGATTAACACCACGGTCGGTTAAAGAAGCTTGATTGATAGAGTAGATGCTGTTTATGTCAATGCCAACATGATTATCATCAAGATCTTCAAAGTCACTTTTCCTTGTGTCAAATTCAACTGCAAAAATGTTGTTTGATAAAGATCCATTTGTACTTGCATTCACAATTCCAAGCCATTGTCCATCACTATTATCTGGTATAAAATCAAGACCACTTTCCTTTGTCAATATGAAAGCTAATCCTTCACCCCATGGATTACTCTGAGGAGTGATATTAATCACAAACGTGGAATTAAACGATGTTGTGATGTCCTTCTTTCGATTCCATAGCTTGAGAGGCTGTGAATACCATATTCTTCCTGATAAGTTTGTGATAGAAGCTCCACGAGCATCGCCTGTTACTTGCATAGCAGCATTCAATCCTATGAAGGAATTATCAGTAGTGATGAAATCATTTTCGGTTTGCTTGGGGAAATTTGCGTAGCTGAAACTCAGGCAATCCACCCTAATAACCAAAGATCTTTGCAAGAAAAGTGTGAATATGATCAAAAGATAAACAAGGGAGGTTAAATAACTAATCTTGCTTAGATAAAACATATTAACATGTCACAAAACTTATGTTTTATGCTTCAATATGGCAAGTATATAGGGAAAGAATTGGACTTGGAAATCTCTATGAAAAATTGAATTAAGAAGGAAATGATCTGTTAGTGCAGGACAGAAAATTCTCAGTTGAAACAAAGGAGGTGATAATTTCTCCATTTTATGGAGAAACTTTCAAGTGATTTGATCAAAACGTTTGACTTGAATTAAGAAGTAACTTCCTAGGCGTTTCCACTTTCTTATTTTAAGCTTGGTGTTGCGCTGCATGTTTGTTAAGTAATACTTTTCTCACAGTCCCTTGCTTATCAAGAAATACTAATCCAAAGAAAGCTAGAGAGAGAGAGAGAGAGTTCATGGACATAATGTTCACTTTAATTTGTCATCTCTTCTAATTAAATTACTTGATTTGGTGTAAATATTACGTGAGGATAAATATTTTTTCCAACCAAAAGGGTTGAATTATGACATTTGAGGTTTTATCTTGAGAAAAGTCTAACTAGAGGATTATCAAGACTAACTCTTTTTCAAATATATCTTAGGTCAATACCATAGAATGTTCCAACGGTATTATTTGTAAATCAATAGTTTATAGTTAGTAGAGACTTCTAAATACTTTACAGACAAATATAAGAGGGAAATGTTTAATAGATAAACTTAACTCACTTTCGCTCAAACTTCAAACTAGTTTTCAACTGATGGATAAAGTCTCCAGAGGTTAAGTTGAATTTTATGTTTTCTTCAATTCTAATTATTTATTTGAGTAAAAATCCTATTATATTGAATTAGGCACCCATCCCCTTTTGTCATGAATATGACACATATCCCTTTTAAACGGTAGAATTAGTCGCAGTAGCTTCATTGCTATATATGACTTAAAAAAATCATGTGCCATATATAGTTTGAGAACCACACTAAACTTTTTAAAATAGTTCTGAAACCTCCAATGGCTTTTGCACAAAAAGAATTTTAATATGATTGTCAAACTGGTGATAAGGATACTGTAATAGCAAAGCAACTACACACAATGGAACTAAGTGTAGAGATTCTCCAGTATTAAGTGGTAAATGCACAAGATGGTGAAATTTTGGAAGACAAGAATATATTGACTTGCCAATAGGCGTATTACTAAGAAAATTTGTTAGCATCTATCACTTATTTCTAATGCATTTACAGTGAAATTTATCTTAGGTTGCCTCTGAACTGAACTTTGCGACATATATACCTTAGGGTGAATACTTATACGCATAGAAGAAAATTTGAACAAATGAATATAGTCAGATCTCTCTATAACAGAATCGCTATATAATAGTCATTAATTATAAAAGTCAAGTTATATAAGGAACTAATTTTCATGCTATGTTATAATATTTGTTCTCTATAACAACGCTTCGCTATAACAACCAAAAGATTCGAAAAAATGAGGTTGTTATAGAGAGGTTTGACTGTATTACCCGTTTTTCAAGGCTAATTATTTCGGGATTTAGTTTAAGGGATTGCACTAATTTGATGCCTTCTTGAAATCTATCAACTGCAGCATCGTCATTCCAAGATTTCGATCAACATTATAGTATTAAAGATCTCCAAGTTTGTTCAGCAAATTAAAGAGAAAGTGTATGTTGATCTGCAGTGATATTTTAAGGAATTAAGGAAAGCACACTCATATATGAACAGATACATAGTATATCATCATAGATTATGACAAAATCAGATTAGGTATACTGCTTAGTTCACAAAAATATATCAAGATACATACATACATACATACATACATACATACATGTGTGTGTGTGTGTGTGTGTGTAACATCATTTACAGTTACCTCTGGATCATCTTTGGATACTTTCAAAAGGTAACATCATTTACAGTTACCTCAAGTTATTTCTTTTAACAAACTAAATGTGCAAAACTTCTATAATCCTTGGATGTCCTTCAATAAAGCGATCAACAACATTCTCAATCTTTTCAATGTCAGCACCACATATATAATGGACAGTACTTAAAGCGGGCAATACATCCTCTGTATACCAAATAGGTGTACTACTACTTAAAAATCTTTGTTTTTCTCCCTTTTCTTGCTTTTAAAATGGGGGATCGGAGTTGCGCATGTGGAAGCAGAAAGATAGTTAAAGAGCTGCCAATTTACACTTACTTGCAGAATACATATGAACAGGGCAAACATCTGCTGCAATGACAGCTAAAAGGACCCAATTTAAATGTCTGAGAACTATGCACTTAAGTGACAGCAGTTTGACAAAGGAGTATACATACTTCATTAAACAAAACTTTTGCAGGAGACAGGAGCAGTGATAATTAACTTGAGAGAAGAATTCTGACCAAGAACTAGCTACATATTGCCTTTTTTACTTCACATAAAAACCAAAGGTTGCAATACATAAAGAATCATATATCTTAGCAACAAGATAATAAAGTTTCTGCTAGCTTAAGAGTGCGTCTGGCCTGGCCCAATGAAGACTTAGTACAGTAGATTCAAATAGCAAACCACCCAAGAAAAAAAGCTACAAATATAAACAAGTAGAAAATTAACATTGTCAATGCTTTTGCTGGATTCTTGATAATGGGTGGTCATTTTCAGCTCAAAAAGAGATAATAGGACAATAAAAGAAGCATTATGAATAACGTTAGAAAATTACAAAGACGCACCTGCCTCTAGTTTGAGCAATTTCGCCATTCGTTAAATTTTGGCAACAAAAATGTTCGCGAGAACTAGTTTTTGCCCTTCACCTCTAATCTATCAAATGAAATCTTTTGTTGATATTTACCATTATCTATATAAGTTGACATTTGGCTGACACGTACAACTCTTTTTTGGTCATGACACATATAGTTTAACCTCTTCTTCCTTTATTAATCATTTAATTGATTAATTACCACGGTGGTGAACCATTTTAGGGAGAGCCCCAGACAATATTTAGAAGGGCATGGCATTTAAGTTCTGCAAAATTCCAAGACAAAATCAATGGTAAACTAAAAAACGTCAGTTTGTTGCTCTCTAGTGCTATGTACTAAGTTACTAACTATATAAAATAAGATCGGAAATATAGGATAGCAAAAAGACACACTAATGACACAAAATTCAATTTAATTAAGCATCATTCCAATAAACCACCACTGGTCTTCTGAATTAGGGATATGAATATATGATCTCTATGTCGTAAGTTGCGACGTTGAAAATGTGATCGATGCCAGTACAAAGGCCAAAGTTAATAGACCAAATTTTAGTAGCCTAGTTAACAAGGAAAAAATAAACATAGTATTTCTCGAGACCAGGTCGAAAATACCTAAAAGGTGAAAAAGAAAATTAGCGTAATGCCAGGGCGTGAGTGGGTAGCTGGGTCGAATATGAAAGGCCAACAAATTATGGTCCCATTTGGGCAAACCATTTTTTGTTCAATCATAAATCTAGTCATCATGCAACCTAAGTTTATTTAATCTGCAATACATGAATATGATCCCTTACATTTAACGGTCTTAAATTCGAGACTTAAAAAAAATTAGGATAGAGAGCACTTTTCCTTTAATGGACCTTGCACAGTAAAATTTGAATTAGTCGGGTTCTTGGTTAGCACTTAGCGGACACCGGATAAGAAATTCAAGAAAAGGAAGAAAAAAGCTTATCTAGTTATTGTGACCCCATGCTTAATTACCACCTTTTTTCTTGTTATATATATATATATATATATATATATATGGGGTCCAAAACTCCGAATAGACTCTTCCTTGTATTGTGATTGGAATCCTTTTGGAATGCCATCATCTTACCTGTTAGCCAGAAAGGCAATTTGGTTGCGTGCAGCTTGCACATGACACCACCAGCAAACAACAGCTTGGAGTTGGACTTTCTAATAAACCTCGTACGTACATGTCTTTCAAATTATACCAGATGTTTGGTCATTAAACTGGCACAAGAAAAAAGAAAAAAACAACAATCTTTAACTAATTATATGCAGTAACAATGCAAAGAATTTTTTTTTTAGTGTTATCTAACCTATTTATAGCTGGTTGTTAATAATTTCACTTATTGTTGACAATTACCTATAAGTTTTCTCGTAGGTGGCTGGTAATTTAATTATGTGTCATTGTCTGTGTATAGAAGTTAAGCTCCATTTTATGTTCTTTCATTTCTTTCATATTAAATTAACCTGACATTTGGTCGTTAAATGGCAGAAAAATAGCTAGGGGACAGGTTGATGTGCCATCCCTAAAACGATAATGAAGATGGTGGAAATAGTAATGTAAGATCGAGGTGTGATTAAATGACCAGTTTTCAGAAAAGACGAAAATAAACTGAGAATAAAAGAGTTGAAGCCTACTTAGGAAGGAGGAGCTAGCGACAACCTCCTTGCATCTTTTACACTCAAATACGCGTATAAATGCGCAAAATAATTTGAAAATTTCAGTCACGTACAGTTCAAGAATATTGGTGCAAGAGATTGTTTAGACCCTTATATAATAGGGTTTAAGGCTCGATCAATTGCCCTTGTAAAAGCTTAGATTGTTAAGCTAGCTAGCCAACTCTTATGACTCTCACATTGTTAAAATAATACTGTGTTTTCTTGTTGTATTGCTTTCTCCTTTTGTTCTTTTTCTCTTTCTCTTTCTCTTTTGCTCTACCCGTCCCATCTGTTACGTTTGTCCTTTTAATTTCTGAAGGCAATGTTTTGGGGATGCTTGATAATTAATAGTAGTAGTTGTAATTAGAATCTCCCAATTTATTAGGAGAACACAAGAATATTTGACTCGACAAAATATCTAAAAGAAACATATTGCCATTGTGTAGGATTGGTCTTTCGTCAAAATGATTATTTCAACGTTGGTGAGCTCTTAGAGAAGACGTTGTTGACGACCAGTAATCCTTTTTTTTCCTTCATAAACTACTAATTAGAGAATATTTATATAAAGAAAATCTTAATTGGTGTGTGATCTAAACGTTTAAGTTAGAAATATAATTTTATTTTAGATTTACAAGACGCCTCTTAATATGCTCTAGTCTGATTCTTTTTAATTTTTACTCGGACCAAATAGATGAAAATGCTAATAGTTGACTGTGACATTGATGAAATCTAATATCCCAAATACCCGAGCTTATGCTTGCTTTGAGCGCTCTAATCAATTGTTTTTCAAAATGCTTGAGACACGACTTCACTAATTAAGGTCAGGAACACATCACCAAGAAAAAGAACAAGAACGATATAACACACCTAGAGCAGTCTAGTCCGGACTCAGGTCGTCCCAAGTCCAACTATGAAGTATGGCCTTTTAACTACATACTGGATACTCCTGTTGTGCCATTGCCATTATATTATAGGTCATTACAAAAGATACTTAAATAATTTGACATACTTTCATTGTTTAAGAATGAAATCTACAAGAAAGTTTCATACAAGATTAAAATAGCACTTGCCTCATTTCCATCCACGGCAGATCGAGACAAACCAAACTGAAGTTTTTAGATTGTGGGACTGGGACATGAGCTGCAATGCGCCTCAACTGAGTGGTTTGAGGAAACACATGCATAAAAACAAGGTTTGAAAATACTCTAGAAAAGCAGATGCTTTAGTTGTCCATACCATGTGGAGGTTAATTCTTTTATAAATTAACGGCCACAATAGTACTCTAGAGACAGAAGTTTTTGTTATCTTATTTTGTCCGTGTAAGCCGGATTCAAGATTTGAACTTTACGAAATCTGATTCAAGATTCAACTCGGTTATTTTTAAAATCTATTTTTTTTTACGTATTTAGTGGATTTTGAACACATATATAAAATCTAAATTAAAACTATTGGATTCGAATTAACCCGTAACTCCTTCACTGGCTTTGCCCCTGCGTGTGCTTCCTTCGAAATATTTTGTAACAGAAAGATCTAATAACATCACAAATTGACGTCCTATCTAAAATGGCTTTAATTTTTATACGCTTACAATATTAAGATGTTTTACACTATAAAGTTATTTGTAAACTAAAAGTCTAAAATTAACTGTTCATAAGGAGTGGTGTGGGTTCATATATAAACTGAAAAAGAAGACAAATTCACTTCCAACATTGAACTTGATTCAATTGATTTTAGAACATGCTCTTTCGTTGCTATACTATGTCAAAGTAATAAATTCCCTAGCATTGAAAGTCCTTTTTTTTCTTCTTCTTCTTCTAATTTTCCACCCGGTGTCGAGCATTCGCATTGGGATTCTGGCTATCCAAATTCGCTCGGTGTAAGGTCCATTAAAGGGAGCAGTGCTCCTTACCAAAAAACAAAAACCCTTATTCAGTACTCGAACCCGAAAGCATTGGTTAACAATGGAGGGATCCTATCGATCCACCCAGAACCCTTTGTGGTCTAGCAATGAAAGTAAACATAAGAATATGGAGCAGGTAATAATCTTGATGCATGAAACTAGAGGAGGAGGTACGATAATTGCTTTTCCGTATGGTATTAATCCCACTGGCGAAACTAGGAATTTTCTCAAGGGTATTCAAATTTGAAATAAGTGAAAAAATATTCCTGACAAAGGGTGTTCAATATGTGTTATATACCTCTAAAACGTAATATTTTACTTATATACATAGTGTAATTTTTCGACGAAGGGAGGTCAGTTGACCACCTTGTAACCATGTGGCTTGGCCACTGATTAATCCTATATATAACAATGTGCCATTATATTGCAAGACGCATACTTCACGAAGAACAAAAATAACATTAGCACAATCATAATGGAGGATTAATTTATCATCAATATCTCGAGGTTATATTAAGAAAGTTTTTGTACAGAATGTGCACCTGATTTTTTTTTCTTTCAAAAGACACATAAACTAAAGAATTAGTATTACGAAATATATATAGCACTATCTTTGAAAGTTTGAAATGTCAAAATATATACAAAAGAGTACTTCAAGAACTTGAGTGGAATTGTCCACGAATCAAATTGACCATACATGTCGCCAATGCATTCTCTCATAAAAAATATTCATCACATGTGAGCAACTAAGTATCTGCACATTTCTTTCCTTTATTGGTGATAAAGTTATTATTATTATTATTATTATTATTATTATTATTATTATTATTATTATTATAACAACATTAAGGAATTAATCACAAATGTGGAGGCTAGCTTGTGGCAACTGCATAAATCAATCTTTAAGCTATACCCAAGAGTAGCTCCAAAAAGAGTAAGAGAACATTAAAGCTAGCAAATGGACAAAATTCATGCAATTAAAGAACATACTATGAGCAAAATTCCTTAGCTCCGTCTTAAAGAAAAACACACAACAAATTGTAGATATACAATAAGCTTAACTATGACTTCCAACTCTTCCCAGTTATGTTGCTTGAATCCTCTAAAAATCTCGCCACATTTATGTCGGTATTCTTCCAAAATGCAAAATCTTTGAAGAACTTTGACACAAGTGCGACAATATATTTGGAGGATCGAACATCATATAGCTTCTGAGTACATGAAATGATATCCGATTGTCTTCATTTGCTAGTCTTTCTTAATATTATCAACTACAAATGCTGCAACTACATTGTCTGTTTGACCAAGTAGACTGCTTAAAGATCTAGCTTTCACCACTCTAAGCTTTTTCATCTTCTTCATTAATGGCTTTTTCTTATCATCTTCACCATAAT